TTTCCCCCCCATGGATGGCATAAGTTCTCACAGACACAAGGGAGAAGGCCCTGCTCATCCATCTCATCTCCTTGCCCTGATTCTTTGGCTTCCTAACACCCACACCATGAACGTAACCCTCCAGAGAACTGCCGGCTACCAAGGGGAGAGAGAGCCCAGCCTTTTAACGGGGGAGGACCTCATCTGAGTCCCACTGGCTGCTCAACTCGCGCCTACAGGTTCCTCTCAAGATGAGCACCTCTACGTCTCACCTCTAAGGCCTGGAGGAAACCAAACAGCAACGGCCCCACTTACCGACGTACAGCGGGGAGTTGTTTGCTTCTGCGAAGTCATCTACGTAGGATATCCCAAAGGGCTGGATGGGAACCGTCCCGATTCCAGCCAGCAGCTGGGCGATGACCATCATTGCCCATATGCTGCTGGCCTCCTTCTGGGGATCCTGGGTGGTGTTCGGGCACACAAACTTATTCTCTGCATGGCAGAGTTCAGCCTGGACCTGGCTTTTGTTACCTGAAAGGCAGAAGAATGAGCATTACAACGCTGGGCACGTCCCCCGCCTCCTCCCACGCCAAATCGCTAAATACCGGGAATCTCCCAGACTTGCTGACTAGGCGCGTGCTGTTGGATTCCGGATGGATTGCTCATTTTATTTAGCAGTTCTCATCACCTTTCCCTTCCTTTGGGGTATTACACCGCGGTCAGCATAGCAAACAACCGGGCTGTGATTTTTATCAAACTTTTAAAGCCGGGCCGGTCACAGAGGGTGGAAGAAAATTAACTTCTCCCGCGAAGGGTCAGCCCTGCAGCCCAGCTCCAGCGAGCTGCATTCGAGCTGTCAGCAGAGGATAAAAAGCTCTCCCTCAAAGCCGCAGCAAACTTTGGACCCAGCCAACTGACAAAAGCCTTCCGACAGAGAGTGTCAAGGCCAGTGGAAAAGCCTAAATATTCACGGATGGTTTGAAAAAACCGTTTTTCAGGCAAAAAAAAAAAAAAAAGGCGTTACGGAGCAAACCGAGTAAGTCCTGGTCTTTCGACTTTTCTTCCCACTCTGGCTTTTCTTTTTTCTTTTTTTTTTGTTATTATTTGTAATTAGTTTAACAAGAAAGATGTGATAGGAAAGTTCGTGTAGTAACTGTGGATTTTCTACACTTCTGCGCAACCAAACAGACACAAAACAAACCCAAATATCTGCCAGGTGATTAGGGCTTTTCATTTGCGTAGCGTGGCAGCACTTTCCTAATAGTAGGTCACCACAAAAATCCTTACGTAAGTCCGCTCGAAGTCTAGAGGGTCCACGTTGCCGGGCGGAAGGAGCCTCTTTTTCTAATAAAGATTTTACCGCCGCAAAAGCGAGAGCCACAGGAGCCTCTGGTGCCAGACCGCACGCCGTGGAGCGAGGCCGCGCTCGGGCAAGCTTAACCTTATCATCAAGGGTCTTTGCTCCCTTGCGGCACCCGGGCAGGAACAGGGAGCGATGCTCCCCGGGGCATCGCCTGCCCCGGAATCTCCGTTGCCTTCATCGCTCGGGAGCAGCCCTCCTCCTTCCAAAGCAAGGATCTCATCGTCCAGGCGTGGGGAGGTCTTCTCCCTGCTCAAGGCTGCCGTGCAGACTCCAACAAGGACTGGAGAACCTCCCTGTAAATACCGGGCCGAGACACGTATGGCTCCAGGCAGGGAGCAAGATGATACCTGCTCCTTTAACTTCTTTCCTTCGCGGTAAGAGCAGCCCCTGGCCCAAATCCTGACCGGTTCATAGCCTGACGCATGAATTTAAGCTGCCAGAAAACTTGGCATCTGATGCCTGATCCACTTTCCAAACCGGCCAACTCGAAAAACACGGAGACATTTGAGGCTGCGTAGCGGGGAGGCAGCTGCGAGCCAGCAGAGAGCTGGTCTTCATATTTCTGTGTGAGCGCTGGCACGCTCTCGGCCCCACGCCGTCGCCTTTAATCACGTTTCATGGGATCTGGGCTTGCAGATCAGCCGAGGCGGCGCCAGATTTCCCCGAGCTGACGCGGAGGAGCGAAGCCAGAGGATCTCTAACCCTTTGGTGGGCGCAGGGACGGTCAGGCACCTGCGAGCAGCTCCGTCCTCGCTGTGCTTTGCTCCCCGTCTGGGGTTTGCACCGAACTGCATCAAAACTGTTGAGCTGCGTCAAAGTCAGGACCTAACTAAAGGGACCAACTTGCCTAAGGCCACCCAGCAGCTCCCTGGCACAGCCAAGGCTCCCGGAGCGTGGAGGATGGGGCTGGGATGCAACGCGCGGGGCTCAAAGCCTTCCCAGGAGAAAGCATCTTCTGACTAGAGGTGGAAGGCTTTCCCCGGCTGGCACCGGCCGAGGTGCCTTAGGGCTTTCAAGGCCAAGCCTATGGCTCATCGGCATCCCGGGGGTTCAGGGGCTGAAGTCCCTTCGGGAAGACCGGAGCCAGCCCCCCAAAAGCCAGAGGTGAAGTGAACCAGCAGAACCAGCACCTCTTGCATCCCAGGGCTCCTGCCCCAAATCTGCTGCCCCGTCAGCAGCGCGCTCTGCCCACAGGCTGACTTTTTTGGATAGCTAAATGACATGTCGGCGTTAATAACAATGCTGTCGTCACTAGGCAGAGGGGCAGCTTCAGAGCTGCGGCTGGAGCTCTTCTGATGCCACGGGGAGCAAAGCTACTGCCAGGATGCTCAGGAGCAGGCTGGAGGGACACACAGCACCCGTGCAGGGAGCAGGGACACGGCACGCTTCGAGATCTGAAAACGGATGGGGGGGCACAGCCAGGAGAGAAGCGTATGTAAAATGAGATATTAAGCTAGTTAAAGAAGTCGTTTTAAAGTCTGTTTGGTGGTATCCACGTGGAAGGATATGCTCTCTCACTGAACACGGAGCCTCCTTACAAATACTCCTGGGTCACGCGCGTCCGTGTGGGATGATCACAGATCATTGAGGTTGGAAAAGACCTTTAAGATCATCAAGTCCAACCGTCAACCCAACACCCCCATGCCCACTAAGCCATGTCCTGAAGTGCCACGTCCACACGTTTTTTGAACACCTCCAGTGATGGTGACTCCGTGCCAATGCGTGACCACTCTCTCCATAAAGACATTTTTCCTAATATCCAGTCTAAACGGCTCGCTCGGGGGTCTCAGCCCCACGGCAAGCTCCATGGGCACTGATGGGAGGGAGAGGTGTCTTGGCAGCCTGGAGAGGAGATCCTGCCCGCCGAGCTTGAAACAGGCTGCTCCCTCTGGAGGCCTTCAGGAGCGTCTGTGGGGAATTCGGGTACTTCACCATCACCACAGCACTCGGCAGCTGAAACCGTGGCTGGAACGACATGCCCGGAAGGGGCAGAAGGGATCGCACATGTCATTATTGCATTCAGAAGGGGTTGCAAAGCTACGCCCAAGTCAGGCTTAAAATGGCAGATCTCTGCCTTAAGCCTTTCCCTCCAAACGCTGCGTTGAAGTCGTGCGTACGCGGGGCGCAACCCCTCTTTTTGGGTAGGCACGGGTAAGCCAGCCCAGAGCAAGCGGAGATGGATTCGTGCCGGGACAGCTGCGGCGGCGATAAGGGTGACGGCACTTACCGGCGCTAAGCGTGGTGTATTCGTAGGGGTCCGATAGGAAGTGGGGCAGGGTGACCAGGAACGCTCCCAGCGCCAGCAGCAGCCCCCCCATGCCGATCACCCGCGGGCGGTGAACGCGGCTGCCGAAGTAGCTGACAAAGATGATGAGGACCACGTTGCCGATCTGCAAAGGGCACAGCGAAACGGGGAGGACGTTAGAAGACGCCACGCAGGAAGTCAAGACCCTGTAGCTGGACCCCCAGGACTGTGTCCGGGTGGGTGGAGAGCCACCTCATCAGGTGGTGGTTGACCCCCGCCAAGGGCAGGAACGGGGCAGCCCTTCACCCTGCATATTCACGGCAAGTCAGTGCTCTCCTCTCATCGAAAGCCAGCAGGCCAGCTCCTTGGCTTCTGTCACCTGTGCGCATCCCTTGTTGTCACGGACAACTTCACAGCCGCCCTGTGATCCTGGCTGGGGCTTTTTTCAGCACCCACACCTGCCCCCCAGCCCATAGGATGTGGCACAAACTCATAATTCTCCCCAGAACAGCAAGCAATGAAGCATACCAGCTCCATTCCCACGCCTCTAAAGGGACAAGAGCCCCGCTACAAAGTCCAGCTCATTGCAACTGGACGTGTGCGACTGCAGATATATGATGAGCTAAAAAGATATGAAAACACGCCGTTTACTCAGGCAAGTGGATGAACACCATAAAATTACCATTACACAGGCTTTGTCAGCTTCGGACAAGCCAAACATTATTTTAACCTCAGCATGTATGGCTAAGAATACTTTTTATTTATGTTTACATGTGCTGCCTTGTTTGTCTCTTTGTGGTTTTCGTTCTTGGAATTGCTGCAGCCGTCAATGCAAAAAGATTGTGGTCCTGGACAAGCAGGGCAGCTCACACAGAGCTGGAGTAAAGCACAGAAATTCCTCTCCCAAAGCAGAGAAATGAAGATGTGCCTGTTGTCTGCAAGCTGTTACTCTTTCACAGCATGGCGTTATGTCCTACCCCAACCCTTTATATTCTTGCAGTGACAGACTGGTCTACTGGATGTTTGCTTTGGCATTACTTCGCCAGGCATTCATGCTCATAAGTAAGTTTTCCAGTGGATACGGAGAACGTGGGCTACAGCTTTGAGATACTCAGGACTTAATTATGCCAGTTCATCGTTACTAGCGTTACAACTGTCCGTCCGGGGTCTCTTTCTTTGCGTGGTTCAGACCTAGTCACAACCAGCAGTGGAAGTCCTTCACTGGCCTCAACAGGCTTTGATCCAGTCGTTGTAACCCCAGACGCAGGTGCTTGTTGAGCTAAGACCTGGCAGGTACTTCCCCAAGGACCCGGGAGGACTCCCAGCGCCCAGCCTCTTGGTGGAGGATCCCATGCAAGAAGACCAGCTGTACGCAAGGTGGGCTGCCACCAAGCACCTCTTTGCCTGTGCCAGACAGGTCTTTCCTTTTTTTTTTGTCTTTTTCTTCTTCAAAAGAAAGTCTCTGCCAGCCGGTCTTTTGCTAGTTGGTTTTGAAGAGCTACCAGAAAGGACATGACATTCGTGACAAATGTGAACCAGAAAACTTATTCCAGAGGACTAAGTGATTAGAAAGTGTTTGTCAGAAAATCCTCAGCCAGCTCAGCAACATGCCAGTGAAGGTCAGTCCTTTGCCACAGGGCCATCAGGAGCTGGGAGCACTGGAGAAAAGGGATAGATCTTGGAGAGACTGCTGGCCAGGGTCTCCTTTCAGAGAAAGCCTGGTCATTCCTACGGCCAATGAGAAAACTATGAAAGCAGATACTTTTACTGGAAGTTGCTCACAGAGCTGTAGTCGTGTGGATACTACTCGTAATAAAATGCTCTTCCTCACAAAAGCTGTAAGAACTGTGATCAATGGACAACAATCACAGATCAACGGAGAAGAATCACATTGCATCTTTCCTGTCTCCCAGCCACGTCTCTGCTGGAGATGTACGGCATCCCAGGGCAGAGTGGTCTCCTCTGAAGCAACCTGCTTTCTGCTGCTGCCCTCCAAGGCCACGTCCTCACCACATATACGTTCAACCTCCTGGCATGCGGTACAGCAGAAGCGGAAGTGTGACGAGGTGTCCAAGTGCAGAGCAACAACTGCTTCATCCAGCACATGTAGGCATGGCCAAAGAAGCGCCGGGTGTGAACAACCCTGAGGGTCTGTTCTGGGAAGGGTCCCCCTGCGTTCTGGCCACCCCTCGGGGCCCCTGCACAAGCTTCTCACCCAGTTACCTCGTGCAAGCTGGAGATGAAACCCGAAGAGAGACTGGAGAGCCCAAAGCGCTTCTCAATGGTGGTGAGGCTGCTCTTGAAGTTGGCGCTGTAGAGGAGCTGGGAGAGCTGGAGAAGCCCGTGGCACAGCACAAACACCTGCGGGCAAAAAAAAGTGCCATCCCAGTTAGTGCCCTGCTGATGTGCTGGCAACCATGTCCCAGGCGAGGGATTTGGGAGTCATACGCGCACGGACTCAAGTTGGCCAACAGGGCTGCACCTCTGACATGCGACAGCTCTGCTGAAGGGCCCAGTCCGGGGCCCCTGATTCACTTAGCTTTGCAAAAAGAGCGATGCAGCGTTCAGAAGAGAGGATAAGGAGCTCTGTTTTTATCTTTCCTCTGCTCTACTGTTATTAGTTGGTATTTGCGCTGCGGCAACCCTTGTGCAACCCTCAAGAGCAGCCTTCCAACCCGAGGAGGAACCTGTTGCACCGGGAGTTGTACAGCGACAAATGGGACAGGCCTGACTTTGCATCGACTTGGTGGGTGCTCTTGAGACCATGTTAGAGCCCACCCTGCAGCTGCCATGCCGCAGCTGAAAGGAAGCCGTGCTGGTTTAGACTACCTGAGATCCAGCATTTCCAGTCGGCCCCTCGGATTCACTCAGCTGTAAAGCCAATTAACACAACCTGCTCCAAGGGGTGTTGCAAGAAAAAGTTGAAAAAGGGCTTTAAAAGCCCCGGAGGGAAAGGATGAAATATGCACAACGTAGTCTCACTACTGGAAGACCTCTACGGCGTTCTAAAAACAGCACCTTTCCCTTGAGCCAGGCCGTGAGCTGAGCCAGAAACCGAGCCGAATGGAGCAGAGGAGGGAATACAGAGAGTCTACGGGGCAGGGCAGAAGCGTGGTTGAAAGAGCCCGGGTGGCCTGGGAGAGGAAAGCGGTCTCCACCGGGGATGCAAGAGGCAGCTCACAAGTGTCTTTTGATCTATATTTAGCCAGAACAGTTTTCCTTTATTTTTCTTGGAATGGAATGCGTCCACACGGTGCCAAAAAAAAAAAAAAGGGAAAAGGTCTTTTTATTTAAATTCACAGGAAATCAAATATTTGCTGAATACCGGAAGCGTGTCCCACAAAGATAACGTCGCGAAGCCCGAGATGATGAATGGGGGATCAAAGGGCTGACAAATTCTTTATGTCCTTGGCTAGGAGAGCAGTGATACTCCTTATTGGTATTTATTTGAAATGGTGGTAGCGCCCAGAAGCCCTGACCCATTGTGTGAAAAAAAAACCCCAAAAAAACCAAGTAAAAAAAAAACAAAAAAAAAAGAACAAAATTGTCCACCCAACAGGGAGGATGCAAATACCGTAGGTGGGTGGAGCAGCTTTTTGGGGAGCAGAGGAGGACACAGAGCCAGGTCCAGCAATTGCAAGAGAATTTAGGTAGAAGAAGATGGGCAAGAAGATGGCTTCTTGGGAAGCTTCCTTTGTGAGGGAGGATAGCACCAGCCAGAAGACACAGCTGGGCATCTAAAAGCGTAGGAGATGGGAGAGATGCTGACAGACAGCGGGAGAGAAGAGGACGGAGATGAAGGAGAAGGAGAAAATGGAGCCCTGGCAGTGTGACGGCAGTCTGGGAACAACCTGGAGACCGCAGAAAAGTAGAAGGAGAAAGGCAAACACCAAAAAAAGAGGGAAGAAGGGTCACGGGGACAAGCTGCCATCTCCCCAGCCACATCTTGGAGGGGTGTCAGCAGACGGGCTAGCATCAGGCGGGCATCTGCCACCACGGTAGCCAAGCAGGAGGGGACAAAGTCCCAGCCTGGGACTTTGCCCCGACAAAAAGCCGCAGAGCAACAACGTGGGGTGTAACGTGGGAAACCCTCCCAGGCAGGGGACGAAGTGGAAGTGAAACATCTGAAAGTAAACTCTCGAAGCAGAATGACCTCTACACCCTCCAGCTATCAACTCCTACGTTCAAAAACCCATCCCAGCGCACGGTCCTGTGGGTGAAAGCTGGAGCCACCACCTTCACCTTCCCCAGTCCTGACCTGGGATCACAGTGTAATTAGTCCAGCCGGGCTGGTCTGGAGTCATCTGAGTGAGGAAGCGCCGGCTAAACAGCGGAGGGCCGAGACCGCCTGGGATGCGGAGCAGCTGGAGGGAGAGCTCTCCCGGTGCGAGGCATTAGCTGGAGAAGCGAAGCTGTTTACCAGTGGGGAGGGAAGAGGGTGGGTCACCGAGGCTGGATTTAGCGCAGCAAATGTCCGGGACAGATGGGGAGATGAGAAGTGTTTGGGGGGAGAGAGGATGCTGGCGGGGAGGGAGGATGAGGAAGAGAAGCAGCCCGACTCCCTGAAATGCCGGGGTTACGGGGGAAGGTAGAGGCATGGAAGGACCGTGGGGAACCAGCACTGGGTGTGCTTCACGAAGGGACGGAGGGCAGGAGGTGAGTTTTTGGGGGGGGGGGGGGGAAAAGCCGATGAGAGAGAGCAGGCAGGAACGGGCAGAGCTGGCAGGAGATGGCCTGAGATGGGTTTATGCATCGGTGGTAACCCGGGGACGGGCAAAACAGGGATGTGGATCCCGGGATCCCCGGGATCGAGCCAGGGCTGCCCGCCACGAGGGAAGGCAAGGTGGGAGAAACGCAGCTGGAGAGCACCAGCGAGGGGACGGAAAGCCTTTGGGGAGCGCCTGCTCCTCCCTGCCCATGAGACCTGCTGAAAATGCTGCTCCTGCGAGGGGGGGTAGCAGGAGGGGGGCTCAGGGGACCTGATCCTGCCCCGCACCACAGCCTCAGCCCTTGGAGGGGGAGGGCCAGGAGGATGGGAGGGGAAGGGCAGAGGGGA